CGCGATCACGTAATAATTATGATTATGAAAAAGAGGAATAACGAAAATGCCAGAACCGCCTCCGGGAATTTCTCGGAATAATCGCATTGCAAAACGACGCGCGGAAATTCCCGATGGCCGACGTGCCGGTCGTCCGCGGCTCATCCGTCCGTGCGACAATCGAGTGAACCGATCGCGCATTCGCAGATGATACCGGATACCGAGGCGGTGTGCCAGGCTTCCGAGGTTGCGGTCAACAGCGGCGACGCATGCGACAAGATTAAGGACCGGCCGGAAAAGGAAGCGGCGTCGGTGACCGCTTGGAAACGATACCAGCGACTGGTCAGCATGATGGAGTCCCGGGGCGGCGGCGATCTCAACCGGAAGTCCATGATAGACGCGGTCTTCCGCGGGAGCGATCTCGTCTACGCCAGTCATTGATCGCCGCGATCGATCGAACGTCGCGGCTGGATCTCCCGCGATCCTCGTACCGAAGTATCGGAGTCGCGGGTTCGCTCGCAGTGGCGTAGAAGTCGTCGTGACGCGTCGGTACTCTCTAAAGTGCAATCAGTGTATTAGCACTGAGAAGCAGTCAATAGTCGTTGGTGCACGGGAAAAAGAATTCATCTTCAGTCAAGAACAGATATTCTTATATATACTAAAAGGCAGGAATACTATAATCTTCTTGGGTGAATTTTAGTCTTGATTCGATTGAATTTCTACTGACGCGGGTGTTACTTGTACTCAGTTCAAGAGTAAAAATCTCCGAGAAAGATTATAATATTCTTGCTTATACATGAGATATGTACTCTTAATTTAAGAATATTTCTTCTGCGCGGCTGTAATTGTAACTATAGTACTGCAAATTCGTAAAATTTTGCTGCAAATGTCTGTTAATGGCAGCAACGGTTCCAATCGGAGAAATCTTATTGCAGAAACAGTGAAAGGAGATATTATTTATTACTTCTTTCCTGTTATCTTAATCACACTCTTAAGGTATTGCTAATGATTTGGCCTGTTCTTAATTATGTTTAATTGTTTTAATTTCAATCGAGTTAGAGAAGCATGCATATCCTGGTGGGGCTCGATCTCGGAAATTCTGGTTCTTGAGTCTGTTACCATACACTGAGAGAAATCACAGTTATTTTCAGTGTTAATTGCATATTTTTATAGTTTCAACCACAAAAATAGTAATAACAACGTACACGTAAGATTATTATTACTAACATTATAGTAACGCTTACTAGAAAATTGGTTTCCCTGATGGTTATCAATTACAAATACCAAATATTTTTCTCTCAGTGTACGAACTACGCCAAATACGACACGTGGTTGGACGCCCATGCGACATGTATACATATTTCTGCTACGGGACGCGTAACAACGATTTGAAGTGAATCTTTCACTGTCCAAAATCGGAGAACTATTAGACAAAAGAGCCAAGCGGAAGAATTTCCACTAAAAATTAGAATATTCACTGATTATCGGTAGGACACTGTTTCGCCAATTGAATTAACGATATTTCCACTGATTCGACTTAAGAGAGTAGCTCATCGAGCGGGAGCGCCTCGCGCGAAATTTCACTCGCGACGCTTTTCAAGCGCGTTCGGAAGCGATAATGACAATGATGGGTAAATTGATTCTTCGTCGAGCGCGGAATAATAATTGAGCCGGGAAATCATTATCCTACGGACCTGTACGAACGGTCAGTAGTCATTAAACTCATCAGGCGAAATAACAATTATTTATTTATCAATTATTAATTGATCGGGACCGGTGGATTAACGCAAATTGCTCGCGAAAAGTCGTTGTTTCTGTGGATCTGCGAGGCGCTAAGCGATATCATCATTGCGCGTTCGCAACGAGAAGATCGCGAGCATTGCGAGATTAATTATTGCTCGGGAATGAATTTATTAATCGATTAAGCTGTGTCGTGTGATTCTCGATTATTTTTACTCGCGAGCGAATGTTCTCGCGCTCGGCACGCGTGCATAATGGAGAAGCTGCGCGGCGATATCGCGCGAATAAAACGCGCGCGCGTGCGAGAGAGAGAGAGAGCGTAGAATGCGAACAACGTGGCTATGTATTATAGTTCGACGTCGGCGGCGCACTATTTTTAGATACTGAGAGTTCGCTGGTTCCGGGAGACGAATGCTTTTACAAGCTTTTATACGCGAAGCGGGTATCGTTGCGCGCGACACTCGTCCTTGGAGGAGAGAACTTGGAGATTCGCCGAGAGAGAGCTCGAGATTCCGGCGAAGGACGCGCGTACGTGCGCGTTCTGATTAACGACGAAGTCCAAATTACGTTAACAATCCGAGAGCGCGTTATGCCACCGTGCGGAAACAAAATTGAATTATGTAACCGGAGCGACTACACACGGATGTTGCGAAGGGAGGCGCTACCGAGTTAGTATCTCTGCGTTCGACGGAGCAGAGCGAACAGTGTGGCAAATAATGCGTCCTCGAGATAAAACATAGCAGCGGCCGCCGAATAGTCGAGGGAGAGGGGGGGAGGGAGAAGGGAGAGGAATTCCGCCGGCGCTCATCACGATGATAAGTCCGGCGGCCATATGGGTTAACCCTTTGCACTCGAGGGCTCCGGAGCGGAGCCATTTAAAATTTGTCTTCAAACTCGAGATGGAGACAATGCAAATAACTTTCAGTTCATAACATAAGGACAAAGACAAATCGTAAAAAACTATTGTGTATAGGATATTCCGCTCTTGCTATTTGCATTTGAGTTTGAAGAGTTTGAAGACAAATTTTGAATGGCTGCGCTCCGGAGTCCTCGAGTGCAAAGGGTTAATAAGTCCGAATCTGCATTAGATGCAGTGAACTTCCAGTTTTTTGCTCTGAGCAAATTTTAATGTGATTTCAAAGAAATGTGCCGGATCGAGATAAATAATTACTGAAACAATTTCTAATTCCCCTTGGCAAATTTTTCTTTGGATCAAGTAAGCGTTATTTGTTCCGAGTAAAATATTTCCCGAGTAAATTACCCGAGCAAAATATTATCCAGGTGAATTCAACCCGAATTAAATAAATATTTTACCCGGACAATTTACTTGGTAAATATTTCATCTGGATCGAATATTACTTACTCGATTCGAGTAAAAATTTGCTGAAGGCTTTTAAAGTAATTATTTATTTGAATCTAACTTTTTTTCTGCGTAGCGAGAAGCGACTTCAACATTGCCGGACGTCGCGATTCCTAAGATTCGAGCGTTACTGCGAATTTTGGCAAAGCGGGAAACGCCTCTTGTTGGAAATTACATTTGATTACTCAGAGTAAAAACTTGCACACTCGTTGTGGATCCGGACTAACGCGACTCATCCACCATCGAGCCACTGGCTTCGCGTCTCTACGCCACTGGCTGACGAATGCAATCACAGTAGAGATAACGATTAACGATACCAAACGGTGTATTACTAGTCAACGTGTGCATAATAAATCGCGACCGAATAGGATAGATCGTTTAATTAGACAATTATTATTACGGCCGCCGGCGACTACAGCGTTTATCACGCGACAGACGACGACGGGCGTGCCTGTAATCTACCGCATGAGCTCATGCGACATCGGCTATGCTCAATATCTTGCCGGCCAGCGAATAATACTCACTGCGTACAAGAAAACGGGAAAAGGAATGGGAAACTAACGAAGAGCCGAAGAATTGTATTGTTCTTCTTTGTCCGCAAGACGCAAAGCGAACGCAAGGCGAATTCGCGCGATCGCGGGAAATCGTCGAACAATCCGGAAACACCTCAGTCGTACTTCAGGCTTTAGAAATAAGCAACGAGTTGTAAAAGAGAAACTATTCAATAAAGTATATTATATTTATTCTTGAATCTCAACGTGTCGCTTATTCTCTTGACGGATCACATTGTCTCATCCGTCTAATTATTTGAAAATAATTATTTTAAAACTCCTCGGCAAATTTTCGCTTGGATCGAGTAAGTAAGAAATATTTGTCAATAATCAAATAAGTATTTTATTCGAATAATTTCTTTGGGAAATATTTTATTCGAATTGAATAATACTTACTCGATCCAAGTAAAAGTTTGCTAAGGATTTTTAAAGTAATTATTTACCTGAATCTAACACTTTATTCTGAATGCTGAGAAGACATTTTATCTTGCGGTTAAGTGCACGCGCTTAAACTTTGCCGATTATGATCTTTCGGGCACTCCTCTTCGACAAGCTATTTTTTTTTCTAACGTATATCATTCTACGGAATCGAAAATTACTGTCATTTGTTAGCAGAAGCCACCGGGACTTTCGGCAATGATTTTAATTTATATGAATGTTCAGGCGCGCCCAATCTGTTCCGTTTTTCTTATTCATTTATGTTAATATTGATTCATTTTGCGTAATTTTATTATTTTTTGTGTGTCTTTGTTTTTTCACTGAGGTTAAACTAAAAAATTTTATTTTTAATTTTCGCTTTGAAATCGCTTCAACCGCATATGCGACGTGCATTCTTTGACGGCCGGCGACTCGCACATGAACATTGCAGTGCATCCGCGCTGCAGTCTTTGCACTTCTCCCTCCTCCGAGCGGCGGCGCACTCAACTGATTATAGAGCAACATTGTAGTTTGTCCTGGTTCCAGATCAGAGGATTCGCCGTTCGGCGATATCTCAGCCGAGAAAATTCGTAGCGACGTCAGACAAAATGCATTCGAAAGATGCATATGCACGTCCGACGATGAGCACACAATAAAAAAACGTCTTAGTAACTAAGTGTTAAAATAGGTCCTTGTTAAAATTTTTGCGTTCAGTTTTCAAGTTAACCGAGTATTAATTTAACATATTGTGTTTATGTTATCTCAATATTCCTTGTTGATATTCAATACGTGTAAGTGTTAAAATAACACATTTTATACTTCAATGTCAATTAACGTATTATATAATTTTGTGCTAATTTTTGACATATTTGTGTTATTTTTCAACATGTTTACTTTGTGTTAAATATAAAATCAAAATGGATGGATGAATCATTTGGAACATGTGAAATGTGTTAAATTTCACACAAATTTATTACTGTGTACAGTCGATCCTTCATGTTAACGATTAATTCAGTGTGGTATGATCGACGATTTTGTACAAATCGATCGATCTAGACGAGGGGAGGCAGTTGTCGAAGTATCTTCCTCGCGCATAAACCCAGAAGTAAAATATATTTGCAATGAATTTATACAACCCGCATCGTCGTTTCCATGACAATCAAATGAACACGTCGTGGAGCCACGCGTAATTGTATACACACATACACATAATCTCTCGCTACATTAAATATATTGCGGTAGTACAAATATACAAAATATTTACAGGTTAACGCGGCTGTGTAGAATCGTGTATTCGCGGCGGGGAACAGATTTTCGCTAGCTGTCGTAAAGTATCTTACAGAATTTTTACAAAACAGGCGCGCGCCGCGCCCGCGACAATTCCGCCTTTCGCGTTGTTCGCGACTCATCGGCCGCAGCTTGCGATGAACGACAAGTCCGGGGATGCGACGCTCGATCAAAAAAACAAAGATGCTCGCGTACTATAAACGAGGTTTAGGTTTCATGTTACAAAAGTGAAGACAGTTCGCCGTGTCTGGAAAATACGCGCAATGGGCGCAAACTACTTATAATATTCGCGTCAATCTCCCTCTCTATCGACGACTTCGGATCGTCGCGAACCTGAATGCTCTAATTTACGAACTTCTCCGAGACCTCTACCGCGAACACGAGCTTCCGCAGGATCGCGTCGAGAGTACGCTCGAGATACCCTCTGCGGTTGGTTCGCAGTAAAAAATTTTATCTTACAAACGGTCCATCCTCGACATTATTTTTGTGTCATTTCAACAGAATAAATATGTTAAAAAGTCAGATTTTATCAAGGTGAATATGTTAACTTGACATGTTTGCACAGGAAAAAGTGCTGCATTCAAGTAAGTAATCGCTCCAATATTCCTTAGGAAATGTTTACTTGACTTAAATAAATTATACTCGGATCAAGTAAATATATTGTATTTGGATCATTTATTTGGGGAAATATTTTACCTGGATCGAATAGATATCGGTCCGATTAAGAATTTGCTGAGGATTATTGAAGTAATTATTTACTCCTCGGGTCTTCCCTTTTGTGTATACCTTTTACCATATTCTCCATGTTGAAGTAACACGAAAACTTGAACGGGTCGTTTGTAATCGACAATTTTTTACCGTGAGAGCGTGTGTTGCGCCGGTCTGCGCGGATTCGAAGCGAACTTCCTACGAGTCTACGGGTATGTCGGCGCTATATCACAAGGACGAAGGGTACGGTCTTCCGCCTTTATGAACACGTCTACGTCGCGTCCGGGCGTCTCATATGAACTCCGTGACGAAGATCTTCTTGAAGTCCGGCGCCGAGCCGCCGATGTCGTGCTTGCAAATGTCGCCGTTGTCGAGATAGCTCACGTCCGAGTTCTTCAGGATGCTCTTGAGGCTCTCCATCGAGAGGTTCGGCAGCTTCCTGTCAATCGTGAGCTTGTCCAGGTCGTTCATCGAGTAACCGGGCCCGATCCTCTTGCTCTTCAGGTGATAGGACTGTATGCTGGGCTTCGTGTCGGTCGGCTTGTTGCTGCGCTTCTTGTCCTCCCGCTCGCCCGTGCCGTTCTCTATGATACGCGGCGTGAAAGATCGCATGCTGACCTTTACCTCGCCGGTTCGCTTCGAGGGCAGCAGCTCCACCTGCAAAACAGGACGTTCTCACGATGTGCGGGGGATTACGTAAAGCGCTCGTAAGCCTTCATCGGCGCGAAAAGGCCGATGAAACGCTCCGTCGACGTGCCGAGCGCTTTTTTCTTCACGCCGGGGATGCATTTTCTCGTGAAAGTGCCTCCGGCTCTCGCCTCTCGCATCCTTCTCGCGTCTAACGTCAGAACCGGCGAAGCAGACCGAACCGGTCGCTCCGACCGACCTGTCCGCCGGCGGATTGCGCTGACCATCGTCTTCGAGGTGAAACCGGGACGGTGTAAAAGTTCACCGGTCAGTTGCGTACAATTAATCGGGTGGAATAAAACAAAAATACACGGGAGATTGACGCGGTGGTACTAAAAGTCGATTAATTAAGCGCGATTTCACCGGTCGCGGGATCTCGTGAATTTCGTAGCACCGTAGCGAGTAGTTCAGCTCGAAGAGCAGCGCGAGAGCTCGCGTAACTCAGCCGTACGAGATTACCTTGGTTCCCTTACGTTGGAAATATTCGAAATCGTCATTGGCGACCGTGGTGACGGAGCAGCAGCTCCTGCTCCTGCTCCTGCAGGAGCTCATGGTGTCGAAGTCGCCGTTCTCCAGGTCGCAGCTCTCGTCGTCGGAGCTGTCGTAACCGTCGCAGTGGCCCTGACTGTCCTGCCGTTGATGCAGGCTCTGTTGCTCCCGCGTGTGATTGTCCTTCTTCAGGTTGTAGGTCTTTGTGTCAAACACGGGTCGGTGGTATCTGATGAAAGTGCAAAGATGTTATCGATCTATTGTAGTAATGAATTATGCCTTTGGAATTTCCGATATATTTGCGGAGAAAATATCGAATATATATGACGTCTATTATACAAGGTGTCCTGCAAAATTTTCGGGACACTCTTTTTCTTTTTTTTTTTTCAAATACATATATTTCAACTGAAAAGCGCTCGAGAGGAATTTCGAATTTCCTCGAGTCGCGTTAAGAGATGCGATTTAAAGAGCACACGTTAGAGCTAATTCGGGCTATCAAGAAGCTTACGTTAGCGCGGATGAAAGGCGTGCGCGTGGAATGTAGGACACCCGGTGCATGATGCACCTCGAAACGTGCGTTTTGAATAATTTATAAGAAACTTGGCGTCTCACTTTCCAGTTGCACACTTTGCGGCGTACGTATATCGTGAACGGCGGTTTAATGGCACGAGCAAAAGTGAAGGTACGCTAAAACGCGACCGGCGGCGAGAGAGGCCGGCGAGCTGTTATACCTGGCGTGATCGAAGCTTTGATTTCTGCGAAGAGCGTTCCTGGGATAATGCTGGGCGTGCAGGCTGCTCTCCAGTCCCACGATCAGGCTCTCCAGGCCGAGGACGCTCCTGGCGTGCCGCCTGGACGGCTCCTCGCGAATCTCGTCGAGGCTCTTGGCGAAGGACTTCCGGCTGCCGGCCGGGTCCTCGAGTTGCACCAGGTTCTCCATGTTCTGCCCGAAGACGTCGGTGCTGCCGATCTTCCTGCGATTGCCGGCGAGCTCGAGCAGATTCTCGTTCGGTCTCGGCCGTCTGCTGTTCTGCTGCTCCGCGGGATTCTTCTTCGGCGGCTGCTCGAGGATCCTCTCCTGACGCGGCTCGAAGGTGGAGCTCGTGAAAGACGACAGTTCCGCTGGCAAGGACGCGTAGTTGCCGTCCTCGTTCACCGGCTGCGTCCTGGGATAATGCTGTTGGATTCCCATGGTGATCGTACCGGTCTTCGCTGCGAACGGCAAGGGGCGATCACCGGGCGAACGGAAAAACGACCACGAGAGCAACTGTGATTGCAACTCGTCGATACAGCATCTCGCTCTCCGCGCGTTGTAACAGCCATTTACCGACATTTAAGCCGACGACCACCAGACGACGATCACGATCCTTTAATTAAAGCGTCTTCGCCGTGCTCCGACGAGCGGCTCGTCAAGGCAATAGAAAGGAAGCGACGTCCGCCTCGCTCGCGCGAAAGCGCTTTCGGGAATATCGAAACATTCGACTTTTCACGTTACAGTGACCCGTAATACTGGGGGATATCTGCCGGTGCCGGCTGGTGCCGGTGGTCGAATAGAGACGATTACGGCCGAGAGACGGGTTTCGCCTCGGACTTTCTAACGTGGCCGCGCCATGGCGAGTGCGTTAACGAAAGCCGCACGAAACTTCGCAATTAACAATAATATGGGCCGAGACAGGTGGAGAGGGAGGGACCAGGACGAAGAGAGAAGCGGCCGATCGGAACATTTTCACGTCGTTAAATCCCGCTGACATCCGCTCTCGCGCTCACCTCTGTTCTGATGGCTGTGCAACCGTCCGTAGAGGCTTCCGTTGGTTAGGGGGAACTTCAGCCCGTGATTCAGGTTCAACTGGAGCTTGTACTCGGTGTCCTGCTCGAAGTGTCGAAATTTGCCGTCTATGCCGCCTGAAAGAGAAACGTATCTTTCAGGATACGCGTCCTTTTACCGTCGGATCTCGCGTGGCCGCGTATAGCGAGAAAGAGAAAGAAAGAGATTCGATGAATTATTCAGCGCGATATTTCTCCCGGGGAATAAAAGTCGCGATATCTCTCTGGGAATGGAATTCGCGACGATGGGCCTCGGTGAATCCGGTATCGCGGCGATTCAGATCGGCATCGAGAAATCGTCAACCGGGCGGTAACGTCGTGGCGGGTCGAGCGCTCCGGAATTGAACGGGGAGAAAGAGAGAATATCCTCCGGCGATCGTGGGTGAGCACGAAGAAACCGTGTAAATAGCTGCATACGTGCATGGTTGCAAAATGAAAACACGGCCGAGTAAATCGGCCGTGCGCGCGTCGTTAACGAGAAAAATTGCCGGTTGTCGCGCGGGATATCGCCGCGCGGGCAGAAATCACGATTATTACGGGCCCGCGGGCGTCTTACTTTCCCACGCACGGCGAACGGGTCAGTGTGTTTTCTTAACGAAAGAATGGAAATCACGTAGCGTCGTTGTGTGTTACGAAACGCGAGACGCGCGCCCGCGCGGAGTATATCGTGAAACCCGCTTCTGCGATGAAGGGAGGAAAAAGAGGGAAAAGAGAGAAGAAGAAGAGGAAGAAAAACGTACCGTGCGACAGCCGCCTCGCGTGATCCTGCTTCGTGTACACCTTGGCCACGTATCGGCAGAACATCTTGTCGAAGAGAGCCAAGAAGACCGGAAGCAGCGTGTCCTTCACCAGCGGCAGCCATGTCGCTAAGTTTTGAGGCGTGCAGAAGTCCCGCAGGAGGCTCGGTCTGATGGAAATGATCTGCGAAATGGACATTTTTCTCAATTCTCCAGTATAGTACGTAATAATAACAATAATAACTTTATTGGTCGTTACAAGCAGAAGGAAAAGTCAATTATGGTACCGAAAATGAGAATGGAGAACGCAAATCAAAGGGCGAGGCGACGACAATGAGACTGACGTAATCAAAGAGAACAAGGCCGTAATGAGCCAAGCACGGATTACGTAGTGCTATGAAACAGGAATTAAAAAGAAAACTGCAAGATTTAGGAAGTCCAAAGTAAGGAGTTGTTTTTTAATTCCCGTTCTGTAGCGCTACGTAATTCATGACTGACTCATTACGACCTCATTCTTTTTAATTATATAGTTTTGATGAGCTTTATTATTTCCTTATTGAAATTGGTGTAACTGCCTTACCCAAAAACACGAGTAAAATGTGATTACATATTAACACATTGCGGACCAGACATTTTATTGCTAACCGTACCCAGTGGCCGGATATGTTTTTGCTTCTAACGACGCAATATGAAATACGAGATATCTCGTCATCGGCCCCTAACGATGAAATACGAAAGACGAGATATCTCGTCCATCCGTCCGCAATGTGTTAATCGTCGTATTGGCCGCGATCTAGCTTTGTGTTGCAGAGCGAAATGCAAAGAGAGAGAGAGGACGTAGAGCGAGTTTCCGAGGTAAGAAATATTATAATACATATTAAAAAATTTTATATTAAATTTAGCACATTTCACATGTCCCAAACAGCCTCTACAAACTTTTGTATTAAATTTTTAACATACTCGTGTGTCAATTTAACATATTCTGTTTATGTTATCTTAATAGTTTTTGTTGAGTCTATATATATAAAGTAAATATGTTGAAAAATAACAAATATCATATAAAAAAATAAACGCAAAATTTATGTTAACGTTAATGTTAACAACCGACGCTGAAGTATATTATTAATACGTTATTTTAATATCTACAAGTGTTACTTTAAGCGTTACACATATTGAATATCGACTCAACACAAAATACATATTGAAATAACAAGTCCAAATATTAATTTAACACACGGGTATGTTAAAGATGTAGCACGAACATTTTGACAAGAATCGATTTTAATAGAAAATATGTTTTATCGTGTGCTTAATCGCATTGTAAGAGAATGTGGATCGAAATTTCGAGGTGCTAGGTCGAGGGAAAGCCAAAACTGACGCGTAATGCAAACGTGTGAAAAGATATCGCGGTATACGTAATGGACATAATTATCAGGGTGCGGAAGCCCTCGCGGAGCTTTCACGGGTGCCGAGCCGCGTTCAGGCGGCGCAATTGTCTCGCCGGCGATGCTTTTCGTGCGCATCGCCGCTTAATTTAAACGAGATCTTCCTCCCGGTCTATCGTGCGCTACGTGCCGGGACAATTGATTCGCCTGAACGCGCCTGGGACCAGGCGAGCCAACCATTGTGAAACTTGACGAACTTCCTCGGTGTAGCAGCACAAGTGATAAAGACATTGCGGTATATAGCGCACGGGATAATATCGTTACGGAGGATCGGTTACGCCGTTTCGGACGTTTAATAATAACCGTTGCTCAAACGCGATCGCGCCGGTCATTAATTGAATGTGGCCATTGCCGCATGGTTGGCTATATAGAAAACGGTATTCTCCGCGGTCTCCGTTGCGAGACGCGTTGCACATAATGCGCAACGTAATGCAACGTAGCCGAGTGAGGCATTCTAGACCGCGCCGGCGGGGCTTTTCCTCGCGCTGATAAATTTCACCAGAAATCATGTCAAGAAGTCGGGGATTCAGAAATCCAGCCCAGCTTTCGCCTCCTCCGCGCAGCGAACGTCGAACGTTCGGGTCGCTCAATTTCACGCGGCTAATTGCTCGCAAGGCGCGATGTGTACGCGTTACGCACGCGAGACAGCGAGATTTCGTGGATTTCGCGCGAGAGGAGGAGGAACGAAAATCTCCGTCCAGCCGAGGAAGAAAAAACGGGCCTCTTGCGAGCGCCGGTGCGTGAACTCGCTGGTGACTGGTGAAAAAAAAAAAAACTTTCGATCTTAAGCGCGAATTCGCGCGTGAAACGAAAGAATTCGCGGTGAAAACTCGGCGGGCGGTCGCGCTTTCAAAAGTGCGCGCCCGTCGTGCACGACGCGCGAGCTGGCGGTACGCAATTTTACGTGCGCTGCACACGCACTCCCTGCGTGCCACACGCCGGTTTTTACAACCTCGTTCAAAAGTGTACGTGCGTGCGAACCGCCTCGGTTCGGATTAGCGTTCCCCCGCGCTCTTCCGCGAACGGCACACGCTACGTGATCCCTGTGCTCGTCTCAGTTGAGATTCTCAAAATTCATACAATATGCAATGTATTAAGAGAAAAAATACCTAAGAAAGTATGCGTATTCGGTGGATGTTAACAACATATTTACTTATTAACACACATGTATTTTTATACCGAGAAAACAAGTTTTCCCAAATGAGAAAACGTACAGATTTTCAAAATTTATACAATCGTTTCCGCACTGAAGGAAAAGATATTTAAAAAATAATAAAATACCTATTTGATGCTAATAACATATTTGTTTATACTAATATATATCTTTTATACATTGAGAGGTTTTTTTTTAAGAAAAAAAATATACATTTTCTTCAATCTGTTTTTCATGAGAGCAATTTTTTATCCTATTTAAATAAGAGAACGTTTAAATTTAAGCAAACATGCCATTAATGCCCATCGAATAAATATTTTTTATTTTTTAGATATTTTTCCTCTCAATGTGATTTTAAAAAGATACTGTAAGAGATGGCCGATTTGCTGTACGCTTGTTCGCACAACAGGATTGGTTTTAATCGTGGATTGATATCTGATATTCCCAGAAGAAAATACGGCATGTTAATTAAACAGATGTAAAAGTTTCCGAGACAATAAATATGAATTTTCACGGCACTAATGCGAATTCACGTGAGAATAGCAGTACTTTGTTTGTGTGCGATTTTCTTCTTTTCATGTGGGGGACTTTAATTAATCAGGATAATTAAATTGTCGTTAATTAATAGATAATAATAGGGCTCTGTCTCTCCGGCGTAACTGACGCACTTTTGTCTCGCGCTGTATATTCTCGCGTGAACGGTATAACGTGCAGTAGTACCGCTGGTTACGTGAATAACGGCCGGTCTGGTCCGAAGTATGAAATCGAAACTAGTTGTACCTTAATTAGAGAATAGAACAAGCGCTAATACGCTGCGTGTACGCGTGTGTGAGTGTGTGAGCACGCAACTACCGACCTCGTCTCTCTCTCTCTCTCTCCCACGAACATATCTCGTTTCGGTTGAAGTGACGGCTACCACATAAATTTTCCTTATATTTCGCTTTCCCGAATTAAATTTATTTCGTTGTATGCCGCAAGAATGCCCTTTACCGCGCATTCAACTTGGTTTTTTCCCACTCTTACTCGATATCGAGAGACCGATTTAATTACAGTCTCCTCGGCTTTTTCTCCCCTTCTCTCTCTCTTCTTTATTTGTCGAACATATCGCTCCAGTTGGCGCGATGATTGCTACAATAACCGGGGGTGCGTCATGCCTCTCCCTCTCCTTCCGCGTTCGCTCGCTCTCTTCGCTCGGTCTGTTCTCTCCACCGCTGTTGACTCCGTGGTCGCGCGCGAGTTTCTCCGTTCTGCCGATCCCAGCAGCGCGAACAGCTCACAGCTGGATCCCGAATGGACATTAGGCGTTTTACTTTAATTGACGATGGCAAGCGCGAGTGTAACGTCCGATCCCGGCCGATCGCAGAGCCGATAGCAATTGCCCAATTTGGGGAAGCCATCGGCGCGAGATTTCTCGCGCGATTGCGACTCCGCGATGATCAGCGAGATTCGAAGGGGAAACGCTAATTATACAGGCCGACAAAAAATGTTTCTCAAGTAATTCTAATCGGAGAAAGTGTTCCTTGTAGATTTTCGGTCACGAGAGACAATGCCGCTGGCCATGTTTTTTCGGTCACGAGAGACAATGTCGCGTCAGGTTTCAGTTATTTTGAATTTCATCTAGACGACAAATTAGTGATTTTACCGGCTAAACACATTCTTGCTACTGAAATGTCAACATTTAAATGACTCGCTTAAAAAAATGTAAAGAAAATCTTTCTCTTCCGTATTGAAATTTAATAAAAGTAAAGAAACATTTACTTTGATCAGAGACACTTGCTGAAAATTCTTTTATCGGCCCGTGTTATTCTCGCTCAGAACGAGGAACGAAAAGACTCTAAAAAAAAAAAATAGAAAGAAACACGAAAAAGAAGCACGGAGTTCGTCGTCGACCTCGTCGAGCTCCGGCGAGCCGGTCGCGACGCTCGTCACGTGAGACTGGAATCGGAACGTGTACATCAATATTGTTTGATTTAATCATCGGGAAGGGAAAAAAAAGCACGAGTGTAACAGCCGTCACGCTGTCCGCTTGCACGCGTACGGCCCGGCGTGTAAACAGGGAACGATGTTTATTTCGACGAACCATGTTCCGATAATTATTTCCCAACGAGTTAAAATGTGCGAGTCGGTAAAACGTTTCGCAATTGCTCGGCCAGCCAGACTTTGGCGATCGGTGGCAACGATGATTCACGAAAATAAGAGCGGCCGTTAACACGAGGCATTCCGGTTCGGCTAATGTAACTAATGCGTCGCGGTGCCGTAGTTTCGAGAGATCGCCGTAGCCGCACACATATATATATATATATCGGAACCCAACTACGCGATCTTGAGATTCGCGAATCTATTCACCACCGCCGGATCGCCCACGCTCACCTGGCGACAAGCTAATTGGCGCGCATCGCTCTTATACGATGTAAACAGTATGCGTCATGCGTGTGTAATAGCCTCGATCATTAATATTAATGAGGAGGGTCAGGGAAGTTTCTCCGCGGGACGACTTTTGCGGAACGCCGGCCGGCCGGCCGGTCGGTCGAGCGGCGCAGCCGCCGCTGCGAATCTTAATTTTGCCGCGGCCGATTAAGGTCGCCGGCCGTATTAAGATCGCGCTTTCGAATTTCGCTTGCCATCGACACCGACCCTTTTCCCGACCGTCCTCGCCGCCTTTCGCCGCTCTTCTTTGTTTCGCGACCACTTTCTCGACGCGCGGAATTTACGAGCGTAGGGTCCGCCGCGCTTCCGGATGGCGGTCGCTCGAATTTACCGGCCGGCGCTCGCTCGCTAACGAAAATCCTCGCGACCGGTGATGTAATTGCACGGATGTAATTGCTGCGATCGGACGATTTGTCCGGCCGTCGTGACGAGAAATTGAAGGTAGCTGGCCCGTGACAATCCCAGGTGATATTAAGCCGTAAAGACGTCGTTTGGACAATGAGACGTCTTAAGGACGTTTTTGAGGTGTCTTTTAGATGTACTTGTCGTTTGGGTATTGTTAGAGAGGTAATGCTTGATGACGACACGATGAAGCTTGAGAAATCTGGGATAAAGCAGTTTGCAAGCATGATTTATAATATATATTTATGTTTCGTAATTTTAACGCTATAGTAAGAGAATATCAAACCTGCATAATATTTAGAAACTAACAAAGAAATAATAGTTTTCGTATTTTGATATATAATCTTTTTTCGCTGGGACCGCCCGTGTTAGTCGTGTGTTTGTGAAATGTAAACCTAGAAAGGGAAAAGAAAAACAATATTTTTCTATTACGGAAAATAAAAAAAAAACAATTGCTAAGTCCTACAGCTTGTATCCACGACAGTCCTCCCCCTCTCCTTTCCACTTTAATGAGAAACTCGGCCTCGCCCGAAGTTCGACACATGTTGATGATCGACGTAACGAATCCGTTAGAAAAAAGGAAGCAGAACAAAAACGGCACGGGATATCCTCGGCGTTTTGCCGCGCCGAGAAGCATAACCGAGGGCGTGTCATAAATTGGGTCGGTCACCTTTGGCTATGTAACATTGTCACGGTTGGCTTGGCGCGCATAATTTCGAGGATATTGCGAAATACCCCTCTTACGGGCGAGACGCTCGCGTCTGAAAGAAGGTTTCAGTGTCGAGCGAGAAAAAAAAAGTGTTCGGTCTAGCCGCGATCTAGCGGCTGCGGGGCGTTTAATAAATATCGCGCGCTTTTTGCGCGGTTCTCCCGACTCAACAAATCCCCGAGCCCGAACCGGCAATTACCGTCACCGTCACCGTCGTCGTCGTTTCGTCGAGGCCCCCAGATTCGAAAGTAATAGTAATACTTAAAACGGCCCCGTGGAAAAAAGAAACGCGCCCGTTCGCGACTCGGCGTTTTACGATTTTACATAAATTAGAAACGTACTTCGCGCAGCTGCCGGGCCTTCCACTTCGCGGATCGCGAACGAGATTACGCGAACGATCGGGGTAATTTTCCCGCTTAGGCTTTCCCAGCTCACCGCGGGGGAAAGAGCTGCTGGTAAAAGAGGCACGAGGAACTCGCGCCTCTTTTAATCGGCCGTTTTTCCTTAACCGGACTGTACTCAATCAGCGTGCGGAAATGCCGACGCGGCGCGCTCAACAGCCGCGCGCAATCTTCCCGTTCGTATTTTCATTCGTCCAGTCGATGAAATAGCGCGGGAACCGGTCTTATGTGCGACATCGCGTCACGGTCGAGCTGCCGGGGAGCGATCCGTGGAGCATCGGCCAGCGGATTAGCAATAAACAGCGATAAACAGCAATAACGATAACGAGGATAACGAATAAGAAAAGCGATCGATCGAGTAATTAGCAGGATGGGCAGATGCTCGAAGACGTAGCGGAAGAAGAAAGAGAGCATGTCAACGGATAAGTAAGAACAGCAGTGGCGATAATAAAGATAAGAAATAAGTAAGAAGTACATCGATCGAATAATTACCAGGATGGGCAGGTGCTCGAAGGTGTAGCAGACGAAGAGGATGCTGTAGACGGTGGACCTGCCGCTGGCCTCGTCCACCTGCACCCTCTTCTTCCTCAGGCACGCCCTGCTGTTGGTGGAGCCGCTGGTGCATGAGCCGCTGGATGGGTCCCAGTGCTGGGGCTGACACTCGAACGCCCCCGAGGAGTTCTTCGAGCTCGCCTCGGACAGGTCGGAGACCGACTTGAGCAGCTCCGAGGTCGGGGCGCGGCAAACGTTCCTGAAGAGCGCGACCAACACGCCGAAGAGGGAGGCGAGCACCAGCAGGCTTCTCAGCGAGTTGACGAAGATCCCGTACTTAGGGGAGATTTCGTGGGCGAGGAAGACGCAGACCTCCGGCTCGAAGTTGAGCACGCCGGTGACGCCGATGCAGGCGCTGATGACGCTCAGGCTGACCAGGTGGTACTTGAGGTGGTTCTTCGTGAGGTTCACCGCCTCGTCGCGACTGCTGATCGCGGCGAACACCGCGATCGACGTCAGGGTCAGCTCCTGGAGGACGCTCGACGAGTTCAGCACCCATACCAGCGTGGAGCATAATTCTGCGGCAAGAAGGAGGCGAATCGTTCAGCGATCGCGGCTTTTTTCTCTTTTCTTTTGCGAGCCGCCGGTCGCATCCGTGCTCGAAGTGCCGGCGAATTGATTTGCATGACACGGCTGTTGGAAAGCCGGGACGAATTCCGTAGAGGCGAACGATCCCGCGGCCGTGGAAAGTATGCGATATACACGGCGTGCGACTGAATTTTGATATCGACTTTTCGGGATAAAATATGATCCGCTTCCGTTCCGCGTGACATTTATACGCAGGGAAAAAAGTGCTGGAATCAAGCGAATGGAATTACCTGTTTTATAGCCTCTTAAATCAAGAAGTATTTTTATTCGGTCAAGTATATGTTAATAACTTGTACTGAATACCTGAACATATCAATACATCGATTTCTAAATGAACGATAGTGTAAAAAATGATTCGAAACTTAGAAACAGTATACTCGGATTATGTAATATTTCATTGAAGAAACCCGGTGGTTTTAAATATCGATTTTTCGATTTAGTAAAGTTCGATTTAGCTTTCAAAAAATTAACTCTGATATCCTTCATATTATGAATTTAATATTTGTTGGAATTATTTTGACACATACAAAAGTCTAATTATATATAGAGGAAATATCATTGTATATCAATAGTTTATCAATTATATTTCTGCTTCTGATAAATATTTGCCAAGGATCAAATAAATATTACTTTAACGGTATCACTTTTATCTTTCGGTGTACCAAAGGATTTTGTCCCCGTAAATAAACAGATGGATAAGCGAATACATTAATAAATCACGCCTTTGAATCGCCTGCAATTGAGATGCATCATTGCGCTGTCGTTTCGCGAAGAGTTGTTACATCGAAATATAAATGTAGTTAAACCAGCCATTCAGGGCTTACCTCCGAAGTGATTTGCTGGACGGATCAAGGTGAGAATCGCGTACAGCAGTAGTCCCAATTGATGCGCGAGGCTTTGAGAGAGAATCGCGACTGTCAGCACGTCGATCTTCCTTTTCGCGGACGATGATTGATTTTGGTAGATCAGCAGAGACCATGACAGCAGCAGGATGCATATCGGCGAACCTACGCATGTGGCCAGCCATTCGCCCACCTCGCTCCGCATCTCTGCGGAGGACGAATAATCGCCGTGTACAGTTAACTAATTAATGATTGCATAAGTGACCGATGAACGATTATATCCTACGCATATTATCGCGGTGTTTTATGTCGAATACTAGGTCAGTCAGAAACATCGCTTCGAGTTTCACTAAAACTGCGGAAAAACAATTAGCTCCCACAGGTGAAAATTAGCTATTCATATAATATAAACTTACATAATATGACTAATTTATTTCTCCTTGTACCTAATTCTCTCACAGTTAAAAACTAGATCTGGTAACAAAATTTCAGTTGTATCATGTGGGCAGCTAATTCCTTCTTTCCGTATAGATTGCGTCACATACACGTGATACAGGCAACGATGTTGATGATGTCCATGTATTATCGTAATAAACAAATTAGTTAATAATATCTATTTATAGAATACTATATAGTTAAAATTAAATTGTTGGGGATAAAAAGAATTGAAGCAAAATAAACTGAAATAAATCAAATTGAACTCTTCCTCTCACTCGACGGATGGACAATTCGTTTCTATTGAATACGATGAGTTCAAATTTGATTTGAAAATCGAGCAGAACTTTTCGACTGAAATCGTGTAAGTAAAGGTATCGTTATATGTCGCTAAAGCTGTCGTTATTTCTTCGACAATATCAGACGCTTCATCGTCTTTAGGGATATGAATAGCTGTGCGGCGAGTCGTCGGGAATACGCGGGACGAATCGTGCGATTTCATGAGGGCGACTCGCGCGCAATTTCTCCTCCCGCGCGGAACGAGGCAGGACCGTTTCCAGTGAGAGTGCTGATATCCTAATCTCGATGAAAGCCAGTGCAATTAGCGCGCCGCGTCAAATTATATCCGCGCACGAGGAAGAGCTGTTGGATTATTGTTAATGAACGAGACGGTGGCAGTTACCGTTGAGCTATTAACGCGACGGGAGAAGGAAGAACGGCCTCGTACAAATGTCACCTGACGAGGTCGCGGCGGGGATGCGGTGTTTTCACGCGAGGTATCTCCTTTCTCTATCCTCATTCCTCTGCGGTCCTCCCACCCATTCTTTCTCTCTCTCTCTCTCCCTCTCTCTTTCCTTCTCCCTCTCTCTCTCTCTTTCTCTCTATCGGAACTTTTTGTACAACACAAAGACCTCCGAGAAGACGCCGTGCAGATATGCTGCAACGATTCTGACTGTGGCATTCTGACGATCGATATTCTCCAACTCGAGAAATGTGGATACTTCCGTCGAGAGAAGCTTTTGGAAGGGATCGATTTCTCTGTGTGAACGACGAATAAATTTCACGCGAGCACATTGCGCTCCTTTTCGTTCACCCATCCCCCCGTTTCCCTTATTTTCCAGTTAAAGTGCCGCGGCTGGCCCGTTTGCGCCGATCTGCGTCGTCCCGGGATTCTCAGGAGGATTTGCGAACGTGAGCGTGCGGCCGAGCCGAAATATATTTGTGCGTTATTATCCCGGGTTGAGGTAAACTCCGCTCTGTTTTCCCCCTCGTACGAAGTCTCGGCACGTTTTCCATCTCTCTTTCCCCCGATGCTTCTCACACACCGCGTGCGCGACTCGAGGCAACTTTCTATTCCGCGCGGTGCCGGCGTCGCGGTCTAATTTATCGTCTAAGCCGACTCGTGCGGCCGCGCCGCGTCCGGTAACGAATTTCCCCCGGGCGGCGGGATCGCGAGAAACGGTCCCCTCGTGCGTCGTCGCCGACGTCGATGTACCCATCACCGTTATTACCACGGAGTTACGCGCGATATGCGGACGCAGGAAGAGGAAGATGCATCCCGATCGCGTAACGACACGGTCGTTTCTCGCCTTCCGACCGAGCGGCCGAGAGTCATCGAGATCTCCCTCGCGCCGTGAAAAGCGATTGCACCTCGTAGTTATCGCGATGAAGGAGCGATCACCTTCACACGGCGCAAAATTACGCGGCACAAGGCTCATGGCCTTATATATATTCAGATACGTAAGCGGTAAAGACGTAAGCAGTAAGCAATTGGCCAATCACAGTCGATTATTCTTAGACCGTAAGGAAAATGGTCGATTGTGATTGGTCGATTTGTTTACTGATTACGTCATATTGCCCACACTGAGGGAAGAATATTTGGTATTTGTAATTATGATCGTCATGGTAAAAGAATTATAATCGGAAAACCGATTTTTTAGTGTCAATACAGCGCAATGGGAAAAAGAAATTGCTACGTTCAAGTAAATCGATCGATGCGTTAAAATTATAAAAAGGTTATGATTGGCATCGAAAATAAATTTCTCTCGGTGTACCTTTGTATGTGTACCATGGGCTTAATATGAGTACCGCGATGAAAAATGAATCAGGTCACGCATTTCACCGCGTATTGTATCACTTTTTCTTCGACAGAAACTCGGGACTTCTAATTACCGGAGGGGAGGGATAGTACTTGGAAAATAAAACAATCAGAGCAGAATAAAACAATTCTTAAACACAAAAAGATAAACTACAATAAGAAATGAAATATAACAAACGCAACATAATATTAATACCTGCCATTTATATATGTAAAAACGTTTAAAATAATAATTAAAAACTTGTATCAACAAAATATGAAAAATTATATTTACTTTTGCTTCTACATGTACTTTTTCTTGCTTTGAGCAGCATCAATTAACTCTAAAAATCCGAATATTCAGCGTCTCGAAATGCCATCCAGTCGGGACGTGAGACAAATATTGATAAATCGGGACAGGCAGCAACTTTTGTTGTACGTGTCCCGATAAAAATTGATCGCGCGGCCGAGTATCAGAAATCTTACTATGAAAATCGATTGCGTTCTGCGCGGCGCCGCCGATAAAAATTCGCGCGATTTCGCGCCCATCAGGGGGAAAACGCGAGAAACGGCGGACCCCCGTAAAGCAGCCGCGGACGCGAGGTGAGTTATAGCACTTTCGCGCGCAGCTTATCGAAAACGCATCGAATTCAATGGCCGGGGGAACGGTAAATATGTATCTTTTATCTGCCGGCGTGTTTCCGAATGCCTGCGGGTCGCGTGCCTTCTCCTCTTTTCTCAGCGGTGCGCGCACTTTCACGTGCGAACGCCGCGAATGAGCGTTCGCATTCCGCACGGCGGACCCGTAAATTTCCGCCCGGCCGTCCGTTCGATAAGTGCCGCAGCTCTCGCGGCTCTTTTCTCCCCGGCAAATTGGATAATCGACGAGCGGGCGATTACGGTAGCGCGGCCCCGGTGTGAAAACGATCCGGGATGTCAACGGAAAAATGAGCGGCGCTCGCGTTTCAGGCTGCGACGAGTTTCGAGAGAGCGCGAGTACGAGAGCGGCTCTCAGACCCGGCAGGGAACGATAATACGTTTGGCGCTATTACATAATAATCTAGATCCCGTTTGAGCACGGTGATACGAATGTTCCCGTTCTGGTTCTGCGCTGTGAGGATCGGGTTCGTCGTAGTTACGTATGCATACAGTGTCCTCAACTTATTCAAAGATAGTCCACTCGACCAGTTTAATCATTTTCATCGTCATTTATTTTAACGAAGAAAAACCCTTTGATTCTGCAGGATGAACGAAAGATACAACAGCGTAATGGAAAGGAAGAAAGAAATTAAAAAAATAATGTGCCAAAGAAGTGAAAGCGAAGGAAGAGAAATTTGCGAAGTGTACAATTTTTATTTTAAATATCAGGAACCTGGGTATAAGCATCGCCAGGCGTTTCTGCGCGTTTTAATCAGGAAGAATTGGTTGTAAATTTTTTTCAAACGAAAGGCGTTCTTAATCCTTTGACTGTGTCCTGTGTCAGATAGACTCGGTGAATTGTATTTGTGGAGCTATAGTGAAAAGGAATACGTGATCTATGAGTTCTCCTCACTCTCAGAAAACCGTTAGAGAATCGTTTTGTCCGTTAGACGTGATGCGAGTCTGATGAGCTGATTGATGTGTGCTTAAGAGTCATCTGAATTTGAAGCAGGGTCAGTTAGATTCATAATGCGGTCGGTGTATAATCCGACGCCACAAGTGAAGTGATTTATAATGAAATTTACAAAAATGTTATAAAATATGGAATAGAATATAAATAAGAAGTAATTTAAGGAAGAATATAAATAAAAAAGAATAAAATGATATAGAATAGAAAATAGTATATATTGAATTTTATGAAAATAATGAATGATATTGTTATATCAATCTCAGACAGCGTATAATCACGCGAACGTGTCCTACAAAGTGCGATACTAAATAATTTGTTACTTTTTTAAACGACGCATCACCATTTTGCAAGTAAAAGGTAAACTATTTTTGTCATAAAAAATATATAACGTCATAAAAACGTCTATTTTCGACACTTGAAAATATCTTCATTTCAGTGCTTTTCGAATGGCGCACCAGAAAGAGTCATATTCTTCTTCTGTTAGAACTATTTTTTAACTTCATCGCCCTGAAATTGCAGATAAAAATAATAAAAAGTAAAAATATTACGAATTTTTCGGTAAAACACCACCATTGGCGAGTCTAAATTCGAAATTTTTCTCAGCAACTTAAAACTCGATTTTCTGTGAATGCATAATCAAACATTCAAGTAGAAGAGTTACATTTTATTCTAGAATTTTATCGACCTCTTTCCTTCCACAATTTTTCCGAAATAGAATTTAGAAAGTCGCACGGGGTCAATAGGACCTTGATTGCGGTGCGATCGACTTTTCAGAAGTGCGCGGTCGAAGGGTTAAAGTTCCACGACGCACTGCGTACATTTCAATCGCACTTCGCTACGGGAGTCCTAGCTTCGAGTATCATCGCCATGCTAAACCGGTTGCGCGGGCAGAAGAACCGAGTTAATTTTCCCGCGAGTGATAACAATGTCGTCCAGGGAAAACTGGTCTGAGGATCTCCTGGTGTCGCTATTATACCCGGCTCGTGTAATCGGCTCGACTCAGTCGCCCGTTTATTTCCACGCTTCTGCCGGCCGAGAGGGAGAAAGATGTGGGTTACTCCGAGAGGAAAGTTCACCGTGGAGTTT